CTTTTTATATAATTTCTTCATTTTATACTTACGTATCCTACGTATATGTAGATTAATAAGTCTAAGTATATATGTATATCGTGAATTCTTTAATGCCTACATAAAGTAGATAGGTACATTCATTATGTATAGGAAAATAACTAAATTAAATTCGTATTGTTAAAGAAGCTAATCAAGAATTTCAGAATACACGAAATGTTATGTTTTCTTGGAATACAAAATAAATTACTAAAACTATACATACATACATTATCTAATTATATCATATAATATTGTTAATGTATTTTCATATATTATTATTTAAAAAAAAAATAAAAACAAAACAAAAAAAAAAACTATTTATACATATTTAAACATCATGAAAATCAAACTGCCAACTTGTAATTTCAAAGTTTATACAAAGAACTTAAGTGTTAAAATTAGTATTGAAACTATATAATTTTATATTAGAAACTTATATGTATACGTAGGGGTATATAAAATTCGCGTTAAATGCAAATTCTATAATTATTTTTATTTTAATGTGTTAATAACTTTTGCAAAAATAAAAGTTAAATTGAAATATGTTATGTAATTGAAAAGTTTCAAGCTGTTCTATGTGGTGTATAAGAATGAATTTAAATATATTTAAAAATAATGCTTTCTTAATAAAGTATTTACAAATATTTATCGGATAATAATTTGGTAGGTTATTGTATTTAAGTCGTATGTTTATCGTAATTACAAATTTAATAAAACAATTAACAAATTTTCATCAAAATCTATTCCATTCAAATTTGATTTTGAAATATTTCGAATTAGTTTTTATTATTTTACAGCGATTCCTCGAACCTGTGAAAGAAACCTGTTTCTATTGAAGCTTCACAGATATGTCTTATCCATAATTGAATACATAACTGCCACATTTTCAGAGTTGTATGGCAACTACCCGAACCAATCAAATATTTCCACTGAAACTTCAAGGAAATATGTGACATATTATTGTACACACGACTGTCAAGTTTCATGGATCTAAATTTTTCCAAATATTTACAATTAGCTTTTGGAGTTGTATGGTCCGAACCTTGGTTAGCTGAATTTGTTCAATTAAAATAGCAGCTCTCCTCGGCAGAACTTGAAGAGAAAAAACTTGTGAAAGTTTGGTGTCGATTGGATTACTCGTTTTTTTAATTATCGTGCGCTCAGACAGACGGGCGGGTGGACATGCCTAAATCAACGCAAAATTTTATGCTGAGCCGCAACGATATATACATGTTCATAACCCAGACGACTCCTTCAAGTGCTTGCAAACTCTATAACACATAGTTAATATAGCCTCTAAAAAGGTACAGGGTATAATAAATAACGATAACTTCATGTCAATATAGTCATGTCATGGAGAATTTTAATACAATATAATTTTCTCAAATTCTACAAAAAATTCAAGTTTTTATTAATAATTATCAATTCTTGGCAGCGCGCTCAATTTTAAATCATTTTAATTTTCAATCCTCTCTGTTAGATTCAAAACGATTTTGTTCTTTATTAAATTATATTAATAAGAAGTTAAAGAAACAAAATTTTCAATTACAAAATATTCTACAAAAACATACCCAATAAAAGATTTATTGAAAACTTCAAAATTACTTTATATCTGTAACAAATAAATTTACATACCCTTATGTATGTATATACACCAGCTATGTATATAAAAAAAAAACCAAATCGAAGAACATAAAAATGTTCTTACATAAATACTTCTATAAATGTATGTATTTTGTAGAGCGACTTACATACATATTATATAAAAATATTCTTTTAACTTATGAAAATTAACAAAATACTTTCTAAGAATTTTTAATGTTGTTAATTAAATTTAAGACTTTTAATAAACTAAAATCATTATTATAATATTTTATATATTTAAACCACTTCATGTAAATATATTTCGTTTAAAGTATGCCAATTATTTTGTGTTCCATTTATAATGTTTAAACTTTCAGGCTCATGTTAGTGGCCAGCAAAAAAATTAATTGCTATTTATGTATGGAAATTAAATTTTACACTATAGTTTAAATGTTTAATCTTTATTTCGATTTGTATTTGATAAACTGATCATAAAACCTAGTTTATGCAATATGCACCCAGTTTTGTTATTTTTTCAAATATTTAAAATTAAATTTTGGAATTTTATGATTCTTGGCTATGCTAATCAATCCATTCCACAAAAAGGTTCAGGATATATAAAAAATTAAATAGGCCATACGTTTACAAAATTTAGTTCGAATTGGGAATAGCAGCTGCCTCTGACAGAAAAGAAACAATTTCTTAACGTTTGATTGTGTTAGCTTTTGTCGTTTCTAGGTTATTGTACGATCGTGCGGTAGACGGACATTTCTAAATCAGCCCGGAGTTTTACACTTCTACGAGCAAGATTATTTTTCTGTACTATACATGTTGATACCGCAGACGACTCCTTGTACTTGTTTTGTTATAAACTCTATCGTAAAATTAATGTACTCTTATAGGGTTAAAAACATATTTTCAATTTTTGCAAAATTTTGCATAGATACTTTTTAAGAAAAATTTTACGAAAAAAATATAATGCGCCAGGTTATGATACCGAAGGATTCATCTTTCAAAAAATCGTTTTCTCTTTGAATTAAACTCATCTCTTTTCTTGTTTGATTTTGACTTTTTGTACTCTTGGTAAAAAAAGCAGAGTTTTCGGTATATTCATTTTTTAAGATTATTTGGATTGAAGACACAAGCACAATAGCTAAAACGAAAGAGAGAGAGAGCGAGAAAACACAAAGAAGAAACGAAAAACAAAGAATATTTTTTTTTTGAAAAAGACAAATTGTAAATCATAAATAACGTCAAATCAAGTAGAAATTTTACTTGTTTTAGTCTTTCATTGTCCTCAATTTTTATGTTATTTTTGCTCATTTTTTCTCATTTTATCTTCTATCTCTTTTTTTTTTTTTTTTTTGGAGAATTTTATTATAAACAAACTGATTTGATGTAATAGTAATTTATCATTTTGATCGAAATTAAAGTAATATTTATTTTTATTTTCTCTTATTATTTAATTTATTAAAAGAATCTTGAATAAAATTCAAAATGAATTCTTAAGTGAAACTAAATAGCGAAAGATATTATAGAAAATATAGTAGTGGTAGTAGAAAGAATACAAAAAGAAAATCTCTTTTTTCTAAAATCTTTATGTAATCAAAATAGGATTATATTACAATTGTAATTTAAGTATACATATTGTAAGAATAAGCATGTATATAATATGTATTGTATTTTGTATAAATGAAATTGTTTTAATATGTATACAATGTTAGAAATAAGTCGGTTTTATAAGATGTTTTATACGAACACAAGACGTGTAAAATAATATATAAAATGTACCTATATATATATATATATATATATATATATATATATTTGTATATAACTAATACGTAGACAAAATACATGTTTTTTTAAATCTGAAATTTTTTTAATTTTAAAATTATCTAATTGAATATATTGATGACTTTAGGACAGTTGTGGCTTTAAATAAAATAGTCAATTGTATTCAATTTGAAATATTGATTTCAAATTGATAGGGCTATCTCCCGATTCTCTATAACTAGAATTGGGTGTTCATATTTAGTTATATAGGAATTGTGAAAAACGTTTAGCGTTATATTTAAAAAATCGATACGAATTATAGCTTTCTGTAATAGTTTTCATATTAATTTATGATGTTTTGCGCTCATTAATTATCTTGATGTTGCCTGCCAGCAAATATTCTAAAAGCTTTTACAGAGTAAATTTAAGTTACTTTATGATGATGTTAAAAATTATTGCTTCCAATTTAATTAACTTTTGTATTGAATAAGCTATATAATAGTGAATTAAATTGGAAGTTGGTTTTTTGTTATTTGGTTCCTCTTTATACTTAGGTCGTTGGTTTACAAAAATTTTCAAGTGTGACTACTTTATTCCTCTTTAATATTTTTATCCTGTAAGTTTTAATGTATACCATAAGCATTCTCACATAAATATTAATTTCGAACATTTAATTATACATAATAATATTGTTAAAAACCATTAAAGTACACTTTCGAAAACAGTTTATAAAATATTTATTTCTGAATAAACACAACCATTATTTTTTAATATAAAAATTCATACAAAATTCTATGGCAAATTATATCCTAATAAATTTCAAAAGTAGCTTTTCACTTACAAAAATACCAGAAATTAAAGAGTATACATATTTCTCTTGAGAACCATTAAAGACCACATTTTGCAAATTATTATAAAAATTTTCATATTTTTTAATGCTAGAAAAAATATAAACTCAAAAATTCTTTCTATACATAAACTTTTAGTGAGGTTTTTTTTTATCAAGACAAAAAAAAAGCAAAATAAAAATAATAAATATTTTTAAAATTAGTATAAAGGTAGACCAAAACAACAAAAAAAGAGAAAAAACAAAATACCTGTGACCAAAAAATTAGCCTGAGAGCATTTTATCACAAAAACATCTGGTGCACTAGATTTACTCTATTATTTTCTATGGCTATTTCTTTTATTAAAATAACCTTAAAAAAAAAAACTATTTCGACAATGTTCTTAAATGCATTTGGCAGTTTATTTTTTTAACCATGGGTTTGATTAAGGTTAGTGGCTAAAAATAAATCTAAATACCTATACGATCTAAATATTTATACGATTTGGTTAGGTGATTTCTTTTATGATATTGCATATTCAATTTATTAGAACATATCAATCCATTTGATCCAATATTATTTAGTTGTATAAATTGTTCATTCAAAATGGTTAAATCGCAGGCGATTATGGTGAAAAAATTTTCCCCGTTTTTGGATGGTTTACGGCTATATTGGGTCTATTTTATACATGCTATTGTATTTAGTGTCGTAATTCGCATTCACTTCTTTTTATTTTCTTTCCGCTTAAATAACTTTAACATTAAAATGCTCCTTTTATTTATATTATTTCAGACACATTAAAAATTATGGAATCAAAAATTGAAAAGAGGAAAAATGTTGCAAAAATTGTAACACCACGCCGAATATGTGTTGGTCCAGCTCAAAGAGGTTTAATGCATAGATTTATTAAAAATCGTGCTCAAAGTTTAACTGATCTCAATAATAATAATCCATGTGAAAAGGGTAGCCCAATAAAATCAGATGTTTTATTGACGAAAATTGGAAGTCCAATAGTATCACGTGATGAAAAAAAATTAAAATATCATTTATCAATATATTCACCAAAACCAGTTTCAATTTGTAAAAGTGAATCTCCATCTGTTGAAAGAGATGCAAATGGAAAACCTATAAGACGTGGTTATATACCAGCCAAAGAAAAAATTCAATTGGAATTGAATGATTTTCGAAATCGTGAAGCCGAGTTACGAGAAAGTCGTAAAAATTCTTTAATGAATTTACAACCAGATTTATTGGCATCAATTAAGTAATCAAATTATTCAATTCGTTTTTTTTTAAATAAAATTTTCATTTATTATTATTTTAGGACAGCTGATCTGAATGATACTAGAGAATCTATTGATGAAACTTGTGACAAATTAAAATATTCGGTATCAATTTCGGAATTAAGTGAATCTGTTGATTCAATTTTTTCAGATTTTGGCGAAACGTAATATATTATATAATACTGACGAATTGTTATAGTTCAATTTGTTAAGTTAAATTAAATTTTTGAATATTTATTTTTAGTATGAGTCCAAATGCAAGTTTTAATTATCATAAAATCCATAAATTACCACAGAGAAGAAGTTTGCCATCAACTGTTAAAAATTTATTTGATGAAATTTATCCGAAACCTGAGGAAGAAGAATTAATGTCATCGAAAAAATTGATAGCAAAATGGGAAAGTATTATTAAAGAAAGTGCTAAAAAATGATTTTAAGCAAATTAAAATTTATTTAGAATCTTTTTATAAGATTTATTAAAAGATTTTGACGACACACGATTTGTTTTTTTTTTTATATATTTTATATAATTTGAAATCCAAATTTGACAAAAAGCGAATAATCGCTTGTGAACATTTTATTGCATTATTTGGATAAAAATTGTTATATCATTCGATATTATTTGTATAAATTAAAATTGTAAATATCTAGAGTAACAACTTATCTTTGTATTACTCATATTTAAATTTCAAAAAATCTTTTATAAACATTTTTAATTTTTATTAAAATATTTTTAATTTAAAGAATAAATTGTTGAAATTTTAATTATACATATATAATATATTGTATTTGAAATTTTAAAAATGTAATGAATAAAATTGTTATAATGAATTTTAAGATATTTTAAATTTTAAATATTTAAAATGGGTTTTCTTTGGCATAAAAATGACACTGAATAATTGAATTTACTGAAAAAAAAAATTAAAATAAGTACTTAATACGATATTTTTTGTAAATAAATTTATTGTTTATTATTTAAAGTTAAAGTTATGAATATTATATAACAGTTTAGGAATTTTAAAATTTTTAGATAATGCTAAAATAAACTGTAATATTATAAAAATTTTAAAAATTTTAAAACATACAATAAAGGAATTAATTTAATAATGTACGAAAATAGATGTAATATTTTTTAAATAAATAAAAGTCTAGAGGACATGACAAACTTAAATTAAATTTGCATCGATAAATAATAATAATTTAATTAGAAATTATGATAATTGATCAGATTAAGCTGAAATGAATAGATAAATAAATTGTTCGGTATTTTGTTTTGAATTTTTCAAATTTCTGTTTTTTGTAAATTAAATATTAAACTGAGTCTATCACTTTTGTCATAAAATTTTTGTAAACACGAAGGAGTGTTGAGTATTTTGAAACGAAGCTGTTATAAAATTATGATTAATGTAGTTCTAGTTGTATTTTATCAATTATTATAAAATGTAACCAATTTATACAACCAACCAAAATTAAATTTGGTTTTGCTCTCTTTTTTTAATTTTTTTTAATTTAAGCAAACACGCAAGTACCGTTCAAAGAGAATTAAAATCTTGAAATTTCGTTTTAATTTCATTTATACCGATTGTTAAGTAAGTATATACAGTTCAATTTAAATATTTTAAAAAAGAGCAAATTCGATATTGAACAAGATTTCCAGTAAATATTATACTAATTAGCAATATTAAATTGAAATATCAATCATTTTAGAATACCTACTTAAAACAATTAATTTTTAAGGATTGTATTCCATCTTAACAATCATATATTTTCCTTTTTATTAAAAAAATTTATATATATACACAAAATTTCCTCCTAATTAATATTTAAAATAATTTAATTTTATAAAGAAAACATAATAAATATATGAATACATTGTGATATTTATAATAATTGTGTGTTTATGTTAATTAAAAAAGAAAACTTAAAAACAATTTTTAAAAAGATAATTTAATAATGAACAAAATGAATTTATTATTATATTTCGTAGAATTGCTCGTATATTATATACGCACTCATTATTTATATTTGTATGTATGTATATAAATTATGTTATATAAAATTTTGTACTTAAACAATAAATGGTATATTACACTTACACATTTTATGAAGAAAATTCTGAATTTTTTTTTGTGCATGCATACATATATATGTACATAATATTATATAAAATTCAGTTTTATGAATATATGTTAGTATGTATGTAATATTATGTACTTAGTTAGTTTTTAATAATACAAGTAAACAATAATTTCATCAGAAATTAAAGTCAATTTCAACAAATTTTTGTTTATACAATTTTATTTTTTTTTTTTTTTCGTTTTTTTTTTTATTTTTTAAACTTTTTTAATATGAACAAAATACCTAAATATTTTATTACTATAATAAATTTCAATGATGTCCTTGAATATATATCTTGTATATACATATTTGTGATATATATGAATGTATACGTACGTACTTCTATGTTATGTCGGTAGGTATACTTTATGGTATATAATGATATACACTTATACAAACATACAAAATATTAATATATACATATATATATATATATAACGTTGAAATGCGTTAAAAATTAATTTTTTGTTTAGTTTATTTCTTTATACATGAAGTGAATGTATTTTCGGAGGATATAATATAATATACCACATTTCGTTTGTAACATAAAGAAATATAAAATGTCTGAGACATAGAGTCATGCGTTTATCTGTCTATTTAGCAATAAATCAAAAATGCATATTCGGGCTGCACAAATCGAATTTTCACATATTACTTTGGGTATCTGTTAGAAGAATCGTATTTTATTTGAATTCAATAAAAGAAACAGTTTGAAAAGAAGGTATATTTCATTCAGTACCAAAAAAAATCTCAAAAATACTCAATATAATCAAACAAAATTAAACGTTATTATTATAATAATTATTGTTAGTTGTCATAATATAAGTAAATATTATTCATATGGGTATATATATTAGAAATTATATTCAATTGGGTATCACAGAGTTGTCACGATTAATACTATATTTTCTTTTTCATACATTCTTTTCGCCATTTTTTTTTTGTATTTTCAAATACCTACTAAAATAATTTTATATTTTATTCCTTTTTACCAATAAAATCAAGTTTTTTTTTAGCAATATACCAATATATGTATATATAACATATTTTATATTGTACAAATTGTGAACATACACGTCATATACATATGTATATATAATTTAATGTTTAAATATTATGTATATTTGCTTACATATATATTAGGTCCATATATAGGCATACTTTTATATAATAAGGTAAATGAAATGTTTCAATGTCATATTAATGTTTGAATTTAAAAAGAAGAAACACAACAAAAAAAAAAATTTAAAAACAAAAAATCATAAAAAAATATCCAAGAAAAAAAAAATATATATATTTTTTAAAGGTGAATAAATCAAGGTAAAAACTTTATTTTATATAAAATTTTACATGAAATTTATTTATTAATAAAAAAAAAAATTATTAAATTATTTATATTATGATATGTGTAAACACATTGCATAATATTTAAAACAGAACTTTTTAATATTTAAATCAATGTATGTATGTACCATATTATATTATGCAAGTGTATTTAAATAATTTTTTGTAAAATTTTATTTTTAAACATTTGTATTGTATATGAATAGGTAATACGGTAAAATCATTTCAAAAATATTTTGTGCCTATGTATATGAAATTAAAAGAAAATTATATTTTATATTAATAGGTACGTATATAAATGTTATTCAAATCACTAATGATAAATTCGCCTGAATGAGTTTCTTTAAAATATAATTTTTTTTTTAAATGATAATAGACATGCTTTCAAAATAAATATAAAGTAAAGATTTTAAAATGAATTGTGAAAATAGATGAATTTAATTTTGATAATTTTCCTGGATATTTTCTTTGAAAAATATCGTATACTTACAAAAAGTATGCCGGGCGTTATAAAAAAATCATAAGAAAATATTTAAAATAATAAATGATATTTTTATTCTCAGGAAAATTTTATATGATTTACTTTGTAATTTTAGTATTTTAATATTTTAGTTTTGAAAAAAAGTGCCAATTTTAAAAAGTATATTAATTTCAAGGCGAATTCAAGAATTTATTTATTCCAAAGGAAAATCTGTTCAGGGGGCACTTGAAGTGATGTAAGCCTATTTATTTACAGCGAGCATAACATGAAGCAATTCTGTTATTAACTAATGTAATTTTTGCATAAATAGACTTACATTTTTTTAAACTTCATCTAAAGAATTAGTTCTTAAGATAAATAAGATTTTCTTTTCTTGCATATTAATAATTATACATATATACATTTATTTAAGCTAAAGTGCAATGTAATCATAAGCATATAAAACAAGACTTATACATATTAAGTTTGAATGAAACGAATTTGATGAAAATTTATATTTGAGTTTTATGTGACCATATAACGTATTGAAATTTCAAAATTAGTTGATTGTGACATTTACTTGGCGGTTCAATTTTACGTTTTTCATTATTTTTAAGAAAATAATTAACGAAATGTTTTGATGTCTTATATATAAGGCGCTCTGAAACAAAGTTTGCCTAACCCATATATTGTGACAAAAACTTTTTCAGTGAGAAATACGCCACTTTGATTCTGAGCCCCAAATAAAATCTTCCTGTAATAATACAATGAACATCTTAATATTTTAAAGAAATTACATTCCAGCAAATATAAACTTCTATACTATGGAGAGAATCCACGTTTTTTCTCATATACCGAAAAATATTCTCTAAGTGATTTTTTTGTAATTTAATATATTAATTTTGACAAGTAAAATGTACTGACTGTTTACTTAGTATGTTGAAGATTTAATTTCTTACCATACATATAATTTACAGGAAACAGAACAGATGTTAAACAAAGTGTTAACTTGTTTGGCTAGTTTCAGCCGACGAAACGTTTTTCAAAGATTTGATGAAAAAAAAATGCGAAATCAACTCGGGAAAGTTATGCAATATTAAAAATTGTTTATTTACTTTTTGCGAATTGTTTTTTCGTTTTTTTTTTTTGAAGTTTTTAAGCTTTAATTGCGCGTGACCTATATATAATATTTTTATTTATTTATTTATTATTTACACTTTACTTATTATTTTGTTTTCACCTGCATAGTTTTATATCAACATTCATTTCACTATATACGTATACATATATGCTTCTGTTACATAGTGTGTATAGAAAAATCAAGGAATTGTTTTTTTTTATTTAGGTAAAAATTTTATAATAGTTTTTTTTTTGCATTATATTTGTTTAATCCTTAATGATTTGAGCGAGTAAAACAAAAAAGAGAAATTTTTATTTATGTATATTAATTTGTATGTTAAGTGAAAAAATTTATTGATAAAAAATGTTTCTACACCTAGGATTTTAAAATGTTAAAGGGTTATTTTTATGTTTGTTAAAACGTATGTATATAAATATGATTATACACAATGTAAGCGGATTCAGAATAATCGTTTATTTATGTTATGTACTGTGTTTGTATTTTATGTGCATGCTATATTGTATAGAATAATTTTTAACATGTGCATAATATACTCATGGTTATTGCACAATTTCTTGAATTTCGGTTG